TCTATTTTTGGTGTTAGAAAGGCTTAGGCCTAAGTGGAGGGCAAAGGTTGCATGGTCTTATCATGCACCTAGATATAGCCAATCTAAACCCAAAGATTCCATCCTTGGCCACCAAGTTGCATCTAGGGTTCATTTGCATTTCATTTGGAATGCATTTGCCTACTCCAAATGCAACCCTAGATGCCTCCCTTCCTATAAATACCCAACACCCCACACCTTGTAAATACTTTGGATATTGAATATAAAGAGAGCCTTTAGTGCCTTTATATCTTTCCTTAGTCACCCTTGGCTATTTTCGGCCAAACCTTACCATCTCCACCTTGAGAGAAACAACCCTAGAAGTGGCCTTCATCATCATGAAGTGAGCCAACCCTAGAGTACCATTCTCAAGAATTTCCTCAAACACCTTCTACCCAACCTTCATTTTCGTCCATTCCATCATCATCCATCCTAAAACCTTGGTCCACCTTTGAAGAACTTGATCCTTGGAGAAGGCCTCCTCCTCCTTGCTCATCATCTCAAGTTCATGCAAGTAAGGATGCCATCATTAGACTTGTTTTGCTCCATTTAATCCAAGGAATTGATTTAGCTAGGTCCCATCTTCATTAGGTGAATCTAACTAAACCAATTCCAACATTTTTGATTGGATTAAGAGAAGGAAAATAAGCCTAGGCTGCATAGCTCTCTATGGCCGAGTTGCTCCTTTAGCTTTTCCCACACACTTGCTTAGCTTATGCCATAAGCTTCTAGCTTAGCTTGCTCTACAAGATTCATGCTTAGCTTATTCCACAAGCTTCTAAGTAACTAGGGACGGTTTGCTTAAGTGTAAAAAGGCTAACCATAGTTCTCCTTGAACTATGGTTAAACTAGCTTGACCCATAAGCCACCTACTCTCTATATAAGGCTTTTCCTTCATTTTGCAAACATTTTTGGATGTTATAGTGAGATTGTAGTTTATCTATGAATTCTCTCTTCCTAAAAGTCTCGAACCTCTTTGATTTCAATCCAATTCTCTTATCCTCTTCATACAAGAGTGTGGTGAGTTTTGAAGTGATTCATCTTCTTCCAAGGCGTGACATCACTTGAAGAGTGTTCTTCATCTCTTAAGGTGAAAACCGAAGCCTCTTCTACCTTAGGAGACTTTTGAGAAGCTTGAGAAGATCCATGGAGCCAAAGGTCTTGGGAGGAGCTTAGAGGAGAAGCCATTGTTCATCCCGACTTTCCAAGAAGTTTCCATCAAACCCCATCTTGAAATTATCCACAAAGGATCAAAGGATTCTTTCATAGAGAAAATAGAGAATTTCATAGAGTCTTTTTCGCAAAAGATTTCACAAACTTACAAGTATTTCAGTTCCTTGTGTTCTGAGTTCGAAAACTGATTTATAAAACTCTTTGACTGAAATAATTGATTATTTTTATAAATAATTGATTATTTTGTTCTTTGTAAATCTAGAAACCAATGGAGAATAATTTAATTGATTATTTACTAGAATAATTGATTATTATAGGGTGGTAACTCTAAAATAATTGATTATTGCATAGTAATAATCAATTATTATAGTGAGCTTCTAAGAATGAGAAAATCCAATGTAAATAATCGATTATTACAAGTGGATAATCGATTATTTTGAGTGATAAACTCAAATTCTTGATTTTTCAAGTTTAAAACCAATTTAAAATTATTTTCATCATTAATCACTATCTAATAAGAAATATATGACTAAGTTACTTACTATCTCGGAATCTCTAGAAATTTAAGATTTTCCAACAAAAATAACATATGGCTTGAAAAAGAAATTTTCAAGCGTTTATTTTTCTTTATATATGTAGTAAAGTAGTAAATGTTGGTCATCCGAATGTCTGACATCACATTAGTCTTCCATATATAAATATATCAAATTGGTTGTTGAAAGACATGTGTGATGTCAACTGTCCGTAAATGTCACATTTTTGCCATCACATTGGTCCATCCTTGAAAGATGAAACTGTTGGCAGTAGTCACCTTGAAGAACGAATTTGACGTCGCTAATAAATGCAAGGCTAATGTCGTGTGGCGTTGAATCCTTGAAGGACCAAAATGAGCTTTTACTCTATAAGGAAGTGAATTGAGCTTTAGTCCTAGCTTAATCAAACTCTGGAATGGATTTTAATGCTATAACTCTGTTGTTTTAATTAGGCTGGGGAATAAAACATCTTCTAAAGCCTGAGAGCATTTACCTTTTTCTGTTTGCACGTGTTTTATGAATTACTTGAGTAGGGTACATAAGACTCCTGGTTGTTAGGAAGTAAATTGTGCAAGTATTTGAAGCATTAGAATTTTGACACCGAAAATTAATATTTTCTTTAATTGATGCAGAAAGCCAAGGGAACTGCTGCAGCAAGAAAGCACACTTCCAAAACCATGAAAGCTTACTTTAGTGATCCAATAAATCGCCAGAAAAGGAGCATGGCCATGAAGGGTCATTTTCACACCCTTGAACATGCGACTTAATTGCTGGTTGACATGGTTGAACTTCATACTCATTTTCTTCTTGTCCCCCCCTCAAATGCAGGAGTGAAATTCTACTGCCAAAACTGTGGCCGGGAAGGGCACAGGAGACACTACTGTCCAGAACTCAAGGACAGTTCGATTGATCGGCGATTCACATGCAGGGTCTGTGGGGAAAAAGGCCACAACAGAAGAACATGCAGAAAGTTAAGGATAAGCCATAGCAATGGAAGAATGATAAAACACCATCAGTGTAAAATATGTCACCAATTTGGCCATAACCGCAGGACTTGCCCTCAAGCTGTGCCTAGTAAAAGAAGAAACACTCAAGCTGTACCTAGTAAAAGAAGGAACACGGCCTCTCGAAGAGCATACAGGTGTAGGTTGTGCAAGAAAGAGGGACATAATATTAGGACATGTCCTAGTAGAACAGTTACTGAACATCCTCAAGACTAATAATCCTACTCATGACAATCACTAGTTTTGAACCTAGATCTTATTGTCGACGGTGATTGGAACTGGAAAAGCTTTATATATTATGCTCACCCTTATCTATCTGCAACAGGACCTATAGAGTACCCACAAGTTATGGAAAAATTCAGCTAGGTATAGGGGTGATTGTTGGATGAGATAAAATAGTAGGAGTCATTCATCCATTCAAGATTAGATTTTTTTTTTTAATTTTTTTTTTATATATATATAAAAATAATGAGGTATAACTTCTCACCGAGTCTGTTTCTGCAAAAATAAAGTGTTACTTCCAATCATGATTTCATGGTTAGGTTGAAATCGAATCTTAGTTCTTGACACCCGTGCTAATAACGTTTAGTATTCAAGTTTAGATTAATATTTGGCCCAACTATTTTTAGAGTTTAAAAGCTATTTAAAGTTTAAAATAATAACTTTAAGTTAAAATATGCTTATAATTTTGTAATTTTTTAAGCTTAAACGTTATTTTAAGGATAAAAGTTCTGGAACAAATGTGTTGGATCTTGAGATTTTAAAATGGATCATCAGATTTGAGACAAACGAAACAAAGAAGTAGAAAAAAAAACTCTAAAAATAAATACTTTTAAAAGCTCTTGTAAAAATAAAATTTAAAATGAGTTCGAAAAAATTTATGCCAATTTATTTTATGAAAGATTAAAAAAAATGGCTCTAGCATTTTGCTAATTGTAATGTTTGATGAAGTCTGTCATCAATCATTATGTTATCTAAAATCTGTCTATTGATTCCACAGCTTGCGTTCCAATTTGTGATCCTTTTTAAATTGTCACTGACTACACACATTTTGTGTTGTATGCAAGTTAAACTGACATGTCTATAAAAGGTTGTCTATTCATTATCATGCTTTTGATCAGGCACTGCAATTAATTGATGCTTCAAGCAAGTCGAATATCAATATTAACAAAAAAAAATTAATAATAAATTACGCCTTCACAAAATTATAAGAACTAAATGTTGATTTAATCTTAACAAAAAAAAAAAAATTACCTGGCCTCTTAAGTTTAGTGAAATTTAGATCACCAGTCGAGCTTAGCTCCATCATTGCAATTACAAGTTAAGAATCTTAATCTAATCAGAATGTGAAGTAAAATCAAACTTGCAAACATATTTAGAATTGAAAGAATGGAGGAGACGGAATTCAAAATTAAAATGAAGAGCAAGATCACAAATTCAAATCACTTATATTGATGAAGACTTTCAGCTCTACATAGTCATTACCATGGGACAAAATTGTGTGTAAAATTAATAATTTTGTATAATATATTTATACTAAAAATATTTAATTTTGAAATATATATTTATACTAAAAATAAATTGAACCTCCTTACTTTGTATATAGTTGAGAGAATTTGAATAATTCTGAAGTTTGAGAGTCTAATAGAATGAATACCTTAGTATCTTCCTTCTTCACCCTGTTAATAAGTTGATATTCGTTTAATTATCTATATTCAATTAGATTTTACTTGCTCGAGTATTTTTATTGTTCCATGTTAGCATATTCTAGCCATGATGAATCCATTGACATCGTTAATGAATGATTTTTGTCAAAAAGTTTCATCCACCACTTTCAATAGTATTTTTTTTCGCTCAATTATATTACTTTTACTATTTACAATATTTTATCTCTGGACTCTACATAAGAGATTCAAATTCAATTCTCCTTTGAACAATCTTAACATTAATAAAAGAGATCGATCTACAACAACTTCATAAAAGAGATTAGTCAGCGATAACTTACTTTAAAAAGAGTTTAACTCATTTTACTTCAAAGCAATGCAGTAATGTTTATTTGACATTGTTGATTTATGAACAGTCAAGGTCGAAGTTCCAATATGCACATCTTAGCAATTATTTGACATCCACTAGTATGCTAAGGAGGGTGAGATTTTCTCTCAAATATTCTTAACAGAACAAAAAAAAAAAAAAACGAAGATAACAAAAGCAATCAGTTAGACATGTTGAAAGCACCATTCCATAGGGATTGCACTGTTCTATGATACATAGGCAACGAACTTTCTTCTGATGACTCCAGATTAGGTAATCTGTTGATACTAGAAGAGCAAAAGTAAGAGTTACTTGTGTTGTCATTATCATAAATCCCTCCAACCTCCTCATTGCTCTCTCGAGGGTATTTCAGTTCAACTTCTTCAGCTTCTTCACCAGAAGAGTTCAGATTTCTCTGCATCAGTTCTCTAAACACTGAGGATTTCAGGAGAAGTCCTAGCGCTGTTGGGGAAGAGGCCTTGTTGCAAGGACTCAAAGGGGTCATGTACTTGGAAAAGTCTCGCTTCTGGGTACAGTCCAATTCACCTGAGGGGAATGAATGCATGTTGGTGTTGGATAACTCAATGTTCCCTCTTGTTTGCATGGAGTTAGAGGTTGCAAAGGAATGAGGGTCTAAGCTAGGCTTTTGATCTTGAGAAATATTAGAATGTGTTCCTGGTCTTAGCCATCTGATGTAGGTGCTCAAGTCAAAGTTTGTCACTGCATTTATGCCTCTGTATTCAATTGCTGCAATGTCATATGCACGAGCTGCCTCTTCTTGTGTACCTTTAGAGAAAGAAATTGGGCACATGGGTAAGGTTTTAAATTCCGGTTGTAGTCACAGTTTTGTCACAATCTTTGACATTGTGAGAAATTGCGGATAAATGCGACTGATCACAATTGTGGTCACAAATAGCTCAAAAACATTGATGTTATAGTTAAAATTGTAGTTGTGACCGTTTTTTGAAACCTTAATTGGGACAATGAGTGTGACTAGTTAGCCTTCTATAAAGTTCTAATCTTTTGACCTTTGTTTACCAAAATTCTTCTTATTTTAGACATTGATGTAAAGTGAAATGACCATTGTAATTTGCGTTGTGTTTTATATAAAAACATGTGGATCAAGTTATTAAGAGTGAGAAAACTCACTGTAAGTCCCAAGGTAGAGGTACTTGTTGCCAAACACTCTTCCAATCCTTGCTTCCCATCTTCCATTGTGATGATGCCTGTATTTTATTTTCAGACTCAAAATCTTAGCACCATCTATTTATTTGTTCGAAACAAAAGATGATGTTATTTGATTGCAAAAACTTAGAAAATATTTCACCTTGCTACTCCTCTATACTTTGACACACCTCTGGAAAAACCACTGCTCCTTCTACAATATAAACAAAAAAAATAAAATATATAGAACTTGAAAAAGTTAAAGAAAGTAGTACTTCTTGAAGAAATGGGATTACCTTCTCAATGAAGCAAGATATTCTTCTTTGGTTACAGTTTTCATTATCTCAAGTTCTTTCTCATAATCAGGTACCTGCAAAAACATCAATGTGTGACACATGGATATCACTGAGAACTGTTCAAGAATAAAACTTATACTTGAGATAATGATAGACATACAGGAAAATTTGTGAAAGTTGATGTTCCCCAGTACTTGAGTGCAGCCAAATCATAGGCTCTAGCAGCAGCTTCTTCATCATTATAAGCTCCTGATTAAAGCATGGAGATACCCCAAAAGGTCAATTTCTCTATTATCCCTTTATTCAGTAAAAAACACTGTTAAAATCAAACAGATGAAGTACTTACCCAAATATACTGCTCCATATCAACAAAGCAACAAATCCACATGCACAAACAGGATCACAATGCAAGGAGCAAGTCTGAGTAATCAACAAAAATAAAAATAGCCAATGAAAGTGAAGTATACAAAGAGTTCAACATCTACCTTGCTTTCCTTTCTTCTTCTGTGTGGGGTTCCAGGTCCCTTTATCCCATAGATGTGCCTCAAACCTTCCGGTCCACCTGTGTCTGCTCCACAGAAAGAATTCAATTAGTTTCAAATCAGAAGGCACTCACTAACAGCAATGAAAAAAAGTTAAAAAAAAAAAAAAAAACTGAGAGAATAAGGCCTTGTTAATTTGTCACTGTTTTTAAATACAGTTTACTGTTTTCTAAAAATTTGCTACTCCCCTGAATACATTTAAAAGTGATTGTCTATTAAGCACATTTCTATTTCTAAAAAGTTATCTGGGTGAGAAACCATTCCCAGTAGTTTCTGTTTTCTTGTTTTTGAAATACTTGTTTTGGATTCAATTTTAAAAACTTAATAAATTATGACGAGAAATTAATGACTCAAGTACAAAATTACTTTAGAAAGGACAAAATTTATATACAATATTATAAATACTGGTGATGTTATTCTCAATCAGAATTCAAATTTTACCTCAATAATACGTGTTAATATTTAATAAATTCTTTTATTTTAATGTTATCAAGGTAAAACTCCAATTTTGATTCGGAAACAACGCCATGATACTTTATGTAAGTTATATTCTTTTAGAAAACAGTTTTTAAAACAAAAAATTGATTAAGATTACATGCCTGCTAACACCCCTGAACCTTGAGCTTCTCTTCACAGTGGTGGCGGTTGATTGGCCACCAAGTTGCTTCTGTTCTTCCAACTGTTCCCCTCGTTGTCCATTGCCTCCTAACACCGCCAAAGACGAATCTCTTCGCCTCCTTTTGACACACTTAGTGGCAATAACCTCACTACCATCTAGCATGAGCATCCTATGACTTCTTGGGCTCAGTTCAGACTTCACAGGTGTAAGCTCCATTTCACTCTTCTCTTTTATCACTGCAATTCACCGGGAATAATGCTTCAATCTGTGACAGTGTGACTTATCTATTTATACTACAAATTTATATATACTACAAAGAAATCTTGTTTCATGCTTAACTTGTCCTGTTGTTGTTTTAACTGGATTTTGGAACAAAGACAAAAAAATGTCGATGATAACATTGCCATAAGACAAATTTAATTTGCCACAACCCACCAAACCAAAAACTTGTAGCTAGCTATGAGCTAACCTTATTCAGGTATAAACAAATTTATCCGGTTCAATGTAAGACAATATTTGTTGACAACCATCCAAAACAATGCTTCGATTTTATCCAAGTCTATGAAAGTTTGTTAAGTTCGTAATTTGCTCACTTCCTCGTGTTATAGATCTGAGACCAAACGAGACTATGCTGAGGATACTCATAGATGTAGAAGATTCTATTGAACGCATGGGAAAAAAATTCACAGAAAGTAACCGTTATTTGTTTGTCGATTGCACCTAATGGGACTCACTAAAATGGGAAGTGTTCAAGGATAAATTTGGCAACAAAAATGTGATTATTTTATTTTATTTTATTTTATTTTTAATGAAATATGATATTGGTATTAGTTAATCACTTATACAATATATTTGATAAAAAGGAAATAAATGAAGAGAAAAGGAACAAGAGAAGTGTAAGGAAGGGTAGGAAAATAGAGAAAATAAAAGTTGTTTAATAAGAGACGAATAGAAGATAAATGAAAGACAAATAGAAGCGAAATGAAGTGGAAATTGATTATTTTAATAGATAAGTTTAAAATAAATAAATAGATTATGATTATTATTATTTAAATAAATAAATAAATATATTTTTTATAAATAATTTTATTTAAACAAAATAAATATTTTTATTTTATTTATTATTATAGTTATATTATTTTAATGAATAAATATAATATTCATAAATAAATTTCTTTTAAAATATAAATTAAAATTATTTATTATTATTATATTTATTTGTTGGTATTATTTTTGCTTTATTATATATATATATATGTATAACATAATCATCCCTTTTTTTTTTATAATAACTAAAAAGTATATATTTATTATTATTAGTATTATTCAATTTTATTATTAGTATTATTATTTTTATTTAACCAACTTTTCTACATTTCCCCTCATTTTAGAGGGAATTTTTTTTTTTTTGTAAGTCCCACCAAAATATCAACACATTTTTTCTCAATTCTCTGCAATTACCAAACAATTTTGATTTTTTAACTTCCAGACACTTCTCTTCTTTTCTCTACTTTTATCCTTTATTTTCTCTTTCTTAAACATATCCTTAGATAGGTCCCTCCTCTAAACAATGATTTTTGTCCGAATTTACTTAAAGAAATCGAGTCTAATAGCATTCAAATGTGATTTAAAATAGGACATAATATTTGTCCACCTTCCCCTTAAAAGAACATAATTTGAGTAATTTTTTTTTAAGAATAGAAGTAATTTTTATAAAGAATAAATTTTTAAAAAATAAAACTTCTATAGAAGTTAACGGAGTGTCTAACTTAACTTTTTATGTTTTGGTTCTCTTTAACGGAATGGATGAAAGTAGGTGTTTCGGTATGTCTAAAAGTCCCACATTACTTAAGAGTCGAGGCTAAAAGTAGTTAATAAATACCCTCCCTCCTTAACCTACCGAGGTGCCTTTTAAAGGACAAAACAGTGACAACCCAACGAGTCAAAGCTGAAAATACCTCGAATGCGGTGACCCTAACAATGGCAGCGAACTTACGGTAGGAACATGTGACGCTAGAAGAAGGGCCTAGGCCACTCTTGCCCCTTAGCATCGATTGAGGGGCTTGTTTCGGTATGCCTAAAAGTCCCACATCGCTTAGGAGTCGAGGCTAAGGGTAGTTTATAAATATTTTCCTTCCTTAAATCACTAAGGCGTCTTTTAAAGGACAAAACCATGGCATCCCAACGAGACAAAGCGGACAATACCTCGGATGCGGTGACCCTAACGATGACAACAGACTTACGGTAGGAACAGTAGGGTTTTGAGAGAAAATCAAATCAAGAACAATTTTTACTTATTTTTAAATTAAGAGTTATAAAATGTTTATAAAAATAAAGATTAAGCTATGAACTTTATGTTAACTAGTATTTTAACTTGTGCAATACACATATTAAATATTTATTATATATAACTAAAATTTAAAATAAATTATGCATATAAATAAATGTCAACTCTTATATATTAAATATGAACTTTTATCTTACGCAAGAATATTTTTAAGAACTTTTCTTGAACGAAAAAATTTATATAATTTGTTTTTTTAATTTTTTTTATCTAATTTAATTTTTATTTATCATAATTATTTATGAATTATATAGTAATATTTTAAAAGAATTTATCAATAAATAAAAATACTTTTTTTTACAATACAAATTAGTTATTATAAATCTAAAATATAAATTATATTTAAAAATATTTATACATACAATTTTTAAATATAATTTATATATTTAAACATAATTAATATATATAATTTATTATAAATTTTAATTATATATAAGAAATATACTTGTGCATTGAAAAACTAAAATACTAATTATGTTAAATAATTTAGCCATATATACATTACAAAAATTTCTTTATAAACCTTGCATCCAATTCACCCCAAAAGCAAATAAAACAGCTTGCATTAACCCGTCCTAAGAAATGGCAAAGCAATTGAGAATGCATTCACATTATAACTTTTGGCGAATCAAAATATATATATTTTTTTTATTTGACAGAAAGAAAATACATATTTAGAAAAAAGCAGAGCATTATCAACTATCAAGCATAGCAGAATTTAGCTGTTGGGGACATTGATCCCAAGTGACCAATGTATGATCAATAGAAGCCTCATTCTTTGCCAACTAATCTGAGAAAACATTGTGTTCATGGTACATATATATTGAAATGTCAAGTTCCAGATATAATTCATGAGTTCAAAATGGCTTCAAAAATGGGTTTGGCATATCTGAATAATGAGTTCATGATGTCTGTGGGACTGTTTTTGTCTTTTGGGATAGCCATGTATGAGTGATTCTGTCGTCAGTGCTATAATGTGCAGAACAAAATTTGGCAATAACGAAAGTTGTTAAAGTAAAGACCTAGTAAACATAGTCCATAAAAAGTACTAATTTGTTGCCTAATTGTAACAAACTTGGTCTCTTGCAGGACGTATAGCAGAGAATAGGACAGAAAAGAATTTATTCCCCTGCCGAGCTTTAGAAGCTGTAATTCCTATGGAAACAGGTAAGATATCTACGAAAAAAATATTCCATTGCATAGAGTAATCGAAATAAAGGGTAGATTTCATTGCACTGAGCAATTATCTGACTTGCTCAAACCTCTAAAAATATATCCGACTAAAATTGTTATAAAATAATTAATAATAATTTATTTGTTAGAGTCTAATTGAATATAAGTTATAAACATTTTACTAAAATAATAATAATAATTTATTTATTAGAGTCTAATTGTGTTAGAAAATATGACTTTATCCAAAAAGGGAATGAATTGGATATTTTAAAAAAATTATTTTTAAGATCTTTATTTTTCAAAAACTTTTCTAAAATCTTTTCAAAGAATTCTATTGATTTAGACTATATAGGATAAAATGTTGAGATTGATTTTTAAATTTAATAACAATTTATATGTTGAATCCTATCTCAAATGCAAGGTTTACATATAATAGATTTAACACATTCAACCAATGTTAACAAGAACTCAAATAAAGAGTGTAGAGATAGAGAGTTATGACACAAGAATTTATAATGGTTCAAACACTACTATGACCTACATCTAGTCTTCGATCAACCTGACTGAGTTTTTTCATTATCTCTAAATTCTGAGTATTACAATCACACATGCAATAAACTCCTATAATCCTAAAGACAAACCCTTTATTTCTTGAACCCCAAGAAACATCTCTTGTAATCACCCATTACAAAACTTTTAATCTTGAGAAACCTACTCAAGAATGTCGCCACCGGCCCAAACGGGCCTCGGCGGTCGCGAAGACGGTCGAGCTCGCTTTTATTTTAGTTTTGAAAATGTATTGGATTATTAGAATGACTTGTTCTCAAACTGAGACCTTGTCGATCTTATCCAATTTATTTATTAAATGTCTCACCAATCCATATTAATCCCAAGCGGGACCCTCTATGGATTAGTGGTTTTCGCAAAAGGAGGGTTCGTGGAGTCGCCACCAATGTTTTACTCAAAACATTGGAAAAAGGGATAAGGCAATTGATTTTATAAATCAACTTTGGCCATTACAACCAGAGTTGGGTAAGGGAGTCGGTTACGCGTGGGGAAGGTGTTAGCACCCCACAGCGCCCCTTTCGGGTTCCCTATGACAGATTATTTCTAAAATAATAGCGTAAAATTACTAAATTACCCCTATTTATTATAAGCGATTATAAATTAACTATCTACATGATGACAGTTTAAATATGCACACAGAAAGCAGTAAAAGGAAGGATTTAAGAAGAAACCTCTTGAAGCGTGCTTTTATATATTGAGTAAAACTGGGAAGCTTTTTGGCGTTCCCTCGCTCTACAAGCTCGCTCG